GAAGATGATGTTCGTTGTGCGCTTGCAAAGACTGCCCCAAGAATTTCTGATCTGGTGAGAAAGAAGCTATCTCAACCTTCACACTGACATTGGCTTTTTATGCAGATACTGTCACAAACTGTAGTAATGTAGTTTACTGTTGTTATATTAAGACTGCTAGCCATGTTACACCATCCTTCAAGACAAAATTTCATTTATTTGTAATTAGAAATAAATATTTCACAATATATAATTACATATTGTTTCTGTGATTAATCACTATGCTTTAATTATGTTCAATATGGGTTTTTAAAATAATTTTATTGGGGACTTACAACTCTTACCACAATGCATACACACATCGATTGTGTCAGGCACATTTGTACATTTGTGGCCATCATCATTCTCTAAACATTTGCTTGAGCCTTTGCTATCAGCTCCTCACTTTTTCTCCTTCCCCGCCCCTCCTCCCTCACAAACCCTTGATAATTTATAAATTATTATTATCTTGTCATGTCTTACAGTGTCCGATGTCTCCCTTCACCCACTCTTCTGTTGTCCTTCCCCCAGGGGGGGGATTGTGATCCTTGTGATCGGTTCCTCCTTCCCCACCTTCCTCTTCCCCTCCTGGTATCGCTACTCTCATCATTGGTCTTGAATGGTTTATCTCTCCTGGATTCCCTGTTTCCAGTTCTTATCTGTGCCAATGTACATCCTGTGGTCTAGCTGTATTTGTAAGGTAGAATTGGGATCATGATAGTGCCAGGGAGGGAGCATTAAAGAACTACAGGAAAGTTGTATGTTTCATCAGTGTTGTAATGCACCCTGATTGGCTTGTCTCCTCTCAAGGACCCTTCTGTAAGGGTATGTCCAGTTGCCTACAGATGTTCTTTGGGTCTCCACTCCGCACTCCCCTTCATTCACAATGATATGATTTTTTGTTCTTTGATACCTGATCCCATCGACACCTTGTGATCTCACAATTATGTTCAATTTGTAACAATGAAAATACATCCTGCATATCAGATATTTACATTATGATTTATAACAGTTGCAAAATTACAGTTATGAAGTAGCAACAAAAATACTTTTATGGTTGGGATCACCACAACATGAGGAACTGTATTAAAGGGTTGTCGCATTAGGAGGGTTGAGAACCATTGTAGAGTTTCAAGGATCCATGGTAGCATAGTGCTTACTCATTAGGCTACTAACCCAAAGGTAAACTGTTTGAAACGATCAGCCACTTTGAGGAAGAAAAATGAGTGTTTCTATTCTTGTAAAAAACTACAGTCTTGGGAACCTTTAGGGGCAATTCTACCCTGCCCTGTAGGGTCACCATGAGTCAGAATTGACTCCACACCAGTGAGTTTGTATAAGATCTGGTACGAAGCCCTGGTAGCATAGTGGTTACTCATTTGAGCTGCTAACTGCAAGATCAACCGTTTGAAGCCACTAGTGGCTCCATGGAAGAAAGATGAGGTTTTCTACTCCCGTAAAAAGTACAGTCCTTAAGACCCAGTTCTATTGAGTTGCTGTGAGAGTCAGGATTGAGTCGATGACAGTTTAGTTTGGGGTTGTGGATAGGACCTTGAAGGGAGCCTTGGTGGTGCTGTTGGGTAGGGGTTAGACTCCTAGCCACAGGGTCCGTGGTTCAAACCTACCAGGAGAACAATGCGATTATCTGCATCAAAGTCTCTGAAACCCCATAGGGTCACTGTGAGTCAGAATTGACTCAATGGCAGTGAGTCTATGGGGGCATTTCTACTTTGTCATATAGGGTTACTATGGATTGAGTAAGTTACACGCAACAATGCATGAGTGTAAAATGGACTAACTTCTGAAGAACCCTGTATGGTGAAACATCACCATTTGAAATTTGTGTACTCTTTGAAATAGATTTATCCTAGGGTTTGCAACAGTGCAAATCTTTGCTCATGTGAGCAGTGCTGTGATGTCATTTAGGAGATTACCTCATGCAGTGGAGATACACGGCCAGGTGGGCCATCCCAGAAGTTCTGGGAAAGGAAACCTCATTGCTCAAGTGAAGATGTTCAAATCAAATGGTTTACCAAATCTGTTTTCAACAGAAGCAGGAAAGACCTGGGAATACCTTGTGTGGGAGTTTTGAGGGCCACATTACTTGTGTTGCGCAGTGCTGAGATGTCTCAGCATTA